CCAGGAAAAAAAAAAAGAAAGACTAGCTAGAAAATAATGTTGAAACGTAAAATATATAGTTATATATAAATATATATAATATATATATTTAAATGCAAATAAAATACCTGTGTTGCACTATTGCAGGTTGCAAGATTACTTGGTCTAAATGAAGCGGCTTGTCTGCCCAAGAGGGCAATTCAGGTAAACTACCAAACCCTATACATTTATTCTCCTATTTCAAGATGAGCGGAGCTTTAATTTTAAAGTTGCTCGTGTTACCATTTACAAATGCCCTTTGCAGAATTTCTGAGACAGAATTGCATTGTTCTTGATCCTATTTGTTGGGTTTTTCCATTTTTACCCTTTGCAGTTCGGGTCTAGAATCGCGAGGGAGTCAAACAAGAAGAATTTCGGAAGTAATCGAGCAGCAAACCAAGCCTCTGCTGGGAGTGTGGTCATTTATGGGTCATCAGATAATAACACATCTGTTGCCTGAATTGCCGAAAGCACAAGCTTGTCTTGCATTTTTTTCTTTTTTTTTTTGGTGAATCGAAGAAAGTTATTTGGTTGGTTTATGTGTAATTTTTGTCGGGTCCAAAGCTCACCTGTGTACAGGTGATAATACGGACTGAAACTGAATAATTATCCAGTTTTGACTGATTGAATAATATTTATTTACACCGTTTAACTTAAATGTCAATTGAGCTTCATTAAGTTTAACACTCCTCAATATTGAATATAATTAAATAACAATTAATTATTTTTATATATCATATCAAATGTAATTTATTATCTATCTACTTATATATTTTTAGTTACACATCATTTTCAATTACTTTTCTCTTATATTTATATAACATCAATTTTAATCATTACATTTTAAATATTAAGTAAGATTTTAAAATTTCCCTCAATTCTCCACTAAATTACTTTATTTAAAATAATTTACTTTATCTAATAATTTCAATCAAAATCAAAATATTTTATATCAAGTTTTTCTCACTAAACTGTAAATTCAACGTTTTCTACATCTTTTTCGTACCCCTAGTATTGGTGCTTTACATACAAATCTCGGTTTGGTTAATATGCATTCTAATCGAGTTTAAAATTTAAAGTTGTCCAACTCCAACATTGTATATTTAGTCAAATACATGACATTTATCTCAATGGAAAAATTGATTCAAAAGTTACAAAGTTTTTTCTTCCGTGACACAACTAGAAAAGTATTTTGGCATGAAAGATAAAATTGTGAATAAATATGAGATAAAAAGTAATCACTATAATTAAAAAATATGAAAATAAATAAATAATAGTTTTTTATTTAGTGCGGTTCGGTTAAAACCGTACCACAACGAATTTTTTGCCCTTTTTTAAAATCTGAACCGCAACGCAAATCGAAATTTTAAAAAATCGAACCGCACCACACCATATGCATCGATTCAACTCAGTTTTTCTCACCCCTACCTGTGAGTGTGACTTGTGTGTTGTTGTGAGGTTGCCTGCGTTTTTAATTTGTTGTGGCAGGGTCATTCAAATTTTCAACTTCTCATTTTTTCTTAACTAGCGTTGATACCCGTGCGATGCACGGTGTATACTATAAATTAATATTTTATTGTTAAAATATTAGTAAATTATTTATAATAATATGTTAATTCTATACGACACAACATATCGAGTATGTAATAATATAAGTTTATTTGAATATTTATTATTTTTTAATTTATTTTTGTATGTCATAACTATTTAATAAGTAAATTTTACTATTTAAAAATTTATGAAAAACTATACATATCTAAAATTTTAAATATGATGTTTGTATAAAATTACTTACATGTACATATAAAATTACCTATTATCCCGATCTAATAACTTTTTTTAACAATTCATATTTTGCATATTGCTCGATAACTAACAAAATTTTAACCCATAAAATTTATTTACTCGACTGAAGGACTTTGTGGTTGATACTGTCTGTTCTTCGACTGCTCCCCCCACTGCTTCTCCCGAACCATCTCCATCCTCAGGTACGCGTTTTTATTATGATTCTAGATGCATGGAATATTAAATGTCTGATAATTAAATTTAATTTGTAATAACTTTAATTGTTTATGCAACAAAATCCTTCATAGTAAACTATTTTATTTTTAATTTTTTGTCTATATTTATTTCTTTAATTCATATTTTCAACATATATAACGAGTGTTAGGCTGTTATCGAACCGAACTGTTTGTGAACAAAGCTCGTTCGTGGTTGTTCGTATTCGAGAACAGCTCGTTCGTTTAGTAATCGAATGAACAAGAATAAGTTAGCGAACTAATCGTACATTCGCGCGAACAAAAAATTGTTTTATAATTTTATATATTACGTATAGTATATGAATATATAATATAAAATATAAATATGGGTATATATTAAATATAAATTAAAATAACTTGCATGACATGAACACAAACTTGTCAAATAATTCGAACACGAATTTCTCGAACAATTCGAACTGTTCACGAACAAGTTCAACTATATAAACGAAAAAAATAAACTTGTTGAACCAATAAAAGAACGAACATGAACGAAATTTTTTGTTCGATTACTAAACGAACGAATACGAACATATTCGGGAGTTAGTCAAAATCGAGCTCGAAGATCTTACGCTCGGTTCAGTTCGGTTCGATAACATCCCTAACCAGTGTATTAATATTTAATTTAAATACTAAGGTAAATTATATATTTCAATTATTACTAAATGCTATAATTTAATTATGATATTTGACTATATTATCGTATTTACTCATTTTTTCTTTATTACATAGTATATAATAAATTATATTTCCTTACAACTTTAATCAATTTTTTATGTATATAGGTACTTGTAATGGAAAACTTATATTTTTTAATTTCACCATCAAATAATCAATTTATTAATATATTAAATTTATTTTTCAATAATAGCCCAAATACAAATGATATATTCAATAGAGATATATTTCATTTTATGGTTAAGTTGACAGTATTTTAGCAATTTTTATTAATAATGTAAATTATCAATTAATTTAATATGATTCAAACACAAATACTTTGGTTATTTGTTACATATTTTAAGTGCTTCTGAGGTGAACATAATTAATAAAATCAAGGTCTACAATAGTGCGATGATATTATAGTTAATCAAATTGATTTTCATTACTATAGTGATTTTTTTTAATTGTGTCAACAAATTACTATAAAACAAATATTATGATCTTATTGAAAATATATATAGTCAATCAATATTCTATTTAAGTCAATTTATAACTACGGAATATTAGCCATTGAGTAAACAAAAAATAGTTAGTGTTTTATACATAAAAGTTGCTAATAGAGAAATGTTAATAATATGTTAAATATAGATGAAAATATTTTTTTATCCAAAACTTTGTAAATTATAGTAACAATGATTGGATAGATAATGGCCAGACCCACCCAATCCGCGGCCCGAGGCAGGACGGATGACTGCGCGTCGCAACGCGGCAAAATTATAATTTATATTTTTCCTCGACTAACCTCTACTAACTAGCAGTAGTGGCAAGCAAGGGTCGATCCCACGAGGAGTGTAAATCAAATCATGAATTTTCTCGTATTAATTGAGTTATAAAAGCAATAAAAGAGGGAGATTTTGAATTAATAACTAAACTAATGAAATATAAATAAGAAAATAAAATAAAATAAATGAAGAGAAAGCTTCTAGTCCACGGTTCCGTCTACACCCTCGACCGTCTCGTCTAATCAGCTTTGGTATCAAATCTCGCTATCTTATGGAATTAATAGCCCTAGGTAACGACACGGACTGTTACCCGAATTTTTCCTTAATTTTAATTTAACCGTGAGACGCTCTACAATTAAACCTGACTTCTTGTACAGTCCAGAAAAACGTTTTCAAGATTTAATACAATTGGCCACTTTACGAATTAGAAAAATAGGCTAGACTAAGTAGTGAACTCAACCACGTGCGTTCACTTAAATAGGCCGTGTTATCCCTGATAGTTACCGTCTTCCGGTAGCCTCTTATGAATTAAACACAACAACAATTACGGATTGAAGGTCTAATTCAGCTACAGATATGAAAAGCCTAATTTAGGTGATCAATCTAAATAAGACTAAACACATCATGGTTAATTATTCAAAATAACACAAACAATTCCAAAAAGATAACTCAATAATCAACCACGTAAATTAATTAAGCATCGTCAATCGTAGGATTCGACATTCCCGGAACTAGAAATAAAATTACTCTAACATAATAAATTAAAGTAAAAAGAGAAGAATATAGTTATCTTCCTCATGTACGGGTGCGGCCTCCCTCCGCGACTGATCGGGTTCCTTGCATATTTGTCTTTTCCTTTGCGTTGCTCCGTGTGTGAGTTGCAGCGGCTTTCCTCAATTCTGCTGCGTGAATCCCTTCAAGGGCCTGCATATATTCGCAAATAAATGCTTCTCTCTGTCGAAGTCCTACCCACGTGTGATGCCCTCTTTTTCATCCCTTTAATTGGTTAAGTGGGACAGGTAACAAACATCAACAAATTAACAACCTAAAGGTAGTGAGCTTTATTTGTGAAGTCCAAATCTTCAAATAAACCTAAATAATTAAATGTTAATTAAATGTTGGGCTCTCTTGGACGTCTGAGTATGGGGTGCTGTTGGTTCAATACGGGGTAGTACGGGACACCTTCATATTCTGCCGGTCGGAACTTCCGTTTAATATCTCGCCGTCCATAAAAGTAGCCCAATAGTCTGAAAATAACGCACAAAAATATCATAGCACTCAAATCCATCTAAAATAAATAAGTCAAAAAATATATAAGTGCGATAAAAATTAAGCATACAAAAATACGCTAATAGATATATAAAATACACACTTTTTCTGACCAATCAACGGATTGGGTTGCTGTTTTCTTGGCCGCCAAAATGTGTGGTTTGGCGAGCTACGGGCCAGCCCACGTTTTGGCCCCTTCTCTTCCGATGGTTCTCGAGTTTAACTGGTACGGTACTTATTGCATATGTTTTTAAAACAACCGATGTAAGAACATTACTTATTGCATTGGTTCCAAGAAACCGTGGGCCTATGCATATCCATCGGTTACAACACAACCAATGTGTGGGCCAGTGCAATTAGGGTACATCGTGTAGCACCCCGTTTGTTTTATTAAAAGCATCATGTTCTTGTATTCAATTGTAACTTGACTAAAATTTTTAATCCTTGTTTTAATTCAAAAAGTTCGCTTAATAAAAAATAAAAATTAACTAGATGTTCTCGTCTACTTAATTTTTCAAAATTTGCTAATCTATTAATTTTTTTTCCCTAATTTTATGACTAAGTTTTTTTTAAGTGTTCCTAAATAATCCCAAGCACCAAATATAAAAGGATTTTTCCTAAGTTTTTCCTAAGTTTCTCAATATAAAAACTAAGTTTTAAAGCCTAACACCTCACTCGGCCCAATCTCCTTTAAGAACCGGCCTTGTAAAGCCCAAAATGGACCAGCCCATCTCCCTCATTTTA